AAAAAAGATGGTTTATGACATTTATTGATGATCATACTCGATTATGTTGGGTATATTTAATGAATGATAAATTCGAAGTTCAAACTTTATTCTAAAGTTTTTTTACAATGGTTGAAACATAATTTCATACAAAAATTAGAATTTTGCATACCGATAATGACACTCGAATATTTTAATAATACCCTTGGTATCTTCTTCAAAGAAAAAGGTATTCAACATCAATCTACCTGTGTTGATACACTACAGCAAAATGACATTCGTTGAAAGAAAAAATCGACATTTATTAGAAGTTGCCCATGCACTAATGTTTTCTATGCATATTCCTAAATATCTCGGGGTGAAGCTATTTTAACTACATTATATTTAATTAACAGGATGCCTACTCGTTTTTTGAATTACATTACACCCTTAGAGTGTTTCAAATAGTTTTTTCCTAATAGTCGGATTTTTTCACACTTACCTCTTAAAGTTTTTGGTTGCACAGACTTATGTTTTTATCCTTCGAAGGATTGATCAAAACTTGGTCCTCGAGCTGAAAAATATGTTTTTGTTGGTTATGTAGCAAATAAAAAACGATATAAATATTTTCATCCATTAACTTGCAAAATTGTTGTTACTATGGATGTTGTGTTTCTTGAAAATTAGCCCTATTTTCGAAATAATTTTCTTCGGGGAAGAAACTAGATGAAGAAAATAGTTGGGATGTTCAACATATTTTACCCAAAGTCATACCTCATAATCCTATTCCGCCGAGTATTGAGGAATCTTTGACATGGGGAGAAATGCTAGTAAATAATTCTAAGGAATATAAGCCCGAGGTTATTGTTTATACAAGGAAGAAAATTCATTCAAAAGGTAGAGAATCATCTATACCCAAAGCACCACCAAGCCAATCTAATGCTTCGAATTCAAGTTCGGGTAATGTTGATTCTCCTAAGCTTTCATCTCCTTCTATTGATTCTCCTCCTATTCCTAATACTTCTATTAAAATAAAATATAATGATCTGGATATACCTATAGCCATTAGGAAAGGAACTCGTTCTTATACTAATCATCTCATTGTAAAGTACTCGTCATATGATAGGCTCTCTTACAAACATAAGGCATTTATATAAAACATTTCTAACTTGTTTATCCCGAAACATTCGGGAAGCACTTGATGATCTAAAGTGGAAATTAGTAGTTTTTGAGGAGATTGATGCACTAAAGAAGAATGAGACTTGAGAGACTATGGAATTACCAAAAGATCGGAAAATAGTGGGGTGTAAATGGGTGTTTACTATAAAACACAAGGCGGACGAAAGTGCAAAAAGATACAAAGTAAGACTTGTTGCTAAGGGATTTACTCAAACTTATGGTATTGATTACCAAGAAACTTTTGCTCCAAGTAGCAAAAATTAACTCTATTCGTGTGTTATGGTCTCTTGCGACCAATTTTAATCGGCCTCTATAACAACTAGATGTAAAGAATGCTTTTTTGAATGGTGACTTGGAAGAAGAAGTATTCATGTGCCTCATTTAGGTTTTGAAAGTACTATTGGCCAAAATAAAGTATGCAAACTTAAGAGGTCTCTGTATGGTCTTAAACAGTCTCCCGAACGTGGTTTGAATGTTTTGGGATGGCGAGTAAAAGGATATGGATATTGCCAAAGTCAAGCTGATCATACTATATTCTATAAACATTTTGATAAGGGCAAGATTATAATTTTAATTGTATATGTTGATGATATGATTTTGACGAGATGATGATCTTGATGAATTATCAATGCTAAAAAAAAGATTGGTTGAGGAGTTTGAAATTAAAGACCTAGGAGTGTTGAAATACTTTCTAGGTATAGAGTTTGCAAGATCAAGAGAAGGTATATTTGTAAATCAAAAAAAATATATTCTTGATTTACTTAATAAAGCTGGCCTTTTGGGATGTAAAGCAGTCGAGACTCCAATTGAAGCTAATTTAAAGTCGAGCCCAGCTATTGCTGAAAATGTGATTGAAAGAGAAAAATTCAGCGTCTAGTTAATAAGTTTATTTACTTATCACATACTCATCCCGATTTACATTTGTTGTGAGCATGGTAAGTCAATTTATGCATACTTCGGGCAAAGAACACTTTGATGTTGCATACGGAATACTACGGTATCTTAAAGGGACACTTGGAAAGGGGCTGATGTTTAGAAAAAGTGGTAATGTTTAGATAGAAGTTTACACCGATGTTGATTGGGCGGGAAGCAGTGGCTGACCGGTGATCAACATCGGGTTATTGCACTTTTGTTGGTGAAAATTTAATCATTTGGCAAAGTAAAAAGCAAAGTGTTGTAGCACGGAGTAGTGCTGAGGCTGAATTTAGATCTATGGCATATGGCATTTGTGAGATAATATGGATTAAGAGATTGCTAGAAGATTTGCGGCTCGTAGTTTTACTTCCTATGAAAGTGTATTGTGACAATAAAGTTCGTGATTTCAATTGCTCAAAATCCATTTCTTCATGATAGGACGAAGCATGTTGAAGTTGTCGGACATTTTATCCAAGAAAAACTTGAGAATGGTTTAATCTATTTTCCTTACATACCTATAGATTAACATGTAGCTGATATTCTCACCAAAGGATTGCCTAAACCTCAGTTTGATTATCTTATAAGCAAGTTGGCCATGAAAGAAATTTACAAGCTAGCTTGAGGGGGTGTTGAAAGAAAATAATTAAGAATAGAGTAATTTATGGTATAAATATAGAAAGTTTGTATGTTACCTAAGTTAGGGAATTCGTCTCTTTGTACGACTAATACTTCTTAAATAAGCTAGTCTTTTTACTATATATGTAGGTCGTAACACTTTGAGTCCAATACGACAAATACAACTATTATTCTCTTCTTTCATATATTTCTATAAATATATATTCCTTTTTCATATACATATACCGTGGTAAATTGTAAGGAGTCATAATTTGTTGGTCACGAAGAATATTACGCATTGGATTGACCAAATTATTAAAATCCATCGGTGCAATCTCCTAATCTAACATTTCTTCTTTCAGTTGTAAAAAGAACATAAATCGATCAAAACTCTACCACACAATATAGTTGAAGGGATGATGTATTGCTCATATATCTTCAACCTCTTACTCGGTGTGCCATGTCATGTGCTCAATGTGGCATTCATTGTATACGATCTCTACAACCGTGGAGTGAATAGAAAGTAGTATACTTTTTTTTATTACAATAATTTTTTCTCTTGTCAATCCCCAACGAAGACTTCGATATTAAGGATGTGCATAAAACTTTCATTTATCTAATTTACTTGTCTTCATCCCAATAGATCATGTTACCTCTCTTATAATAATGAATTTTTTCACTAGTAAATCTATCCTCTTAACCGACTATTTTGTTTCATAAAAGCTATACGTCATACGAGTTATCAATAAATATCAACTCCTTCATTAACTCATATAACTCGGTCGTAACACTTTTTAGGAAAATGATACTTTGATTTTAGGTTCAGCAATTAGACAACGAGTTGACAACTGTGAGTGATTATTATAACTAGTCCAAATCTCTCTACGAGATGAATCCAATATATCATAAAAGACACGAGCATCGGGATTTCACACCTTCGCATGCCAAATGGATCAAAAGATGGATCAATTGCATCCATCATCATTGTTTGATATGGGTTTTGGTGTTCACTACAATTACCTTCACCTACATGATAATTTTGAAAAATAAAATGAATCCTAGAACAATAAGATGTTATGTATGACTTAAATTCTTCATGATATACCCAATAACATCATAAGCATAAAATCTTTATACCACAAATGCTATTTAACCATTTCAACCTCCTCAAAATTTTTGTTCGACACTTATTGTGATTATAACGACACCTTATTTTAGCTTTATCCATACATTTTAGATGACTAATGGCAAATGCAACAAATTGTTCAACCTCATTGATAAACTCATCATTTAACAACCAATCAACAAACCTAACATTCATCCATTTTCATTCGGATCTCATTTTTTTAATGTCTATAAAAATTATACAACATAAGCAAAAAATTCTTGGTCAACGTTCTTATAAATTAGACATTTTCTAATTTTTAAATTATTTAATTAATAACTTTTTCAAATATTTAATAAAATTTTGATAGAGTCTATTATGTAAATTGTACCTTCCCAATTAAAAAATAATCCAAATAATTGCACAAACATTACGGACATCGAGAGCACTAATTGTCTCGGATACTCCATTAAAATTAAATCCCAAACTCATCCTTTCAACTCCATCGTAGAGTCTTGAACCAACCATATTTCTCCATAATTCCCGAGGGTCTTAGACCCCTCGGTTCGAAATGCTATGGAGTATCTTGACACATTTCAACAATCATAAATTAAATAATTAAAGTATATAACTCTAATTTAAAGAACATTTGAAATAAATTCTATTTTAAATACACTTAAACAAATTAATCTAAATTTACTTAATTACATTTAAAATAACTATTAGTTAACCAAATAGTAAAATTAAAAAGTAACAAATTATTATTGTATAAGTTAATCTAAATATTCTTTTAATTAAAAAAATAGTTAAAGAAGTAACATATGACTACTATATACTCGTTATAGTTTTCATTAATCTAATTTAATATTTTAGATTTAAAAAAAGTTCACTTACTGAAATATTTCTACTATTATGTTTTGGTTATCTTAAATATAATTTAATATTTTAAATAATTTTGATTTTTTTATTTGATTGGTAAATATATTTTAAAAATATTTTTTAATATATTTTTGGTTATCTTTAATATAATTTAATCTTTTACCTAAATTCATTTAATACAAATTCAAATTAACACTAATTTATCAATATTAAAATATTCATTTAACATATAATTAATCAAATTAACCTAATTAAAATTAACTTACCAAAATTAGCGCTAATTTAGAATGAATAATTAAATTAATAAATTCAAATTAATTAAGAGTACTTAAAAAGGCCAATGAAAGGCTCATTTCTTGAAATTTAAACTAGAACTCCAACATAACTTAAACACATCCTTCACTTCGACCATCGACACTACTAACATTTCTTTTGTCACCACCACTCTTATCACACTTTTTTCAACATCTTCCGACCAGCCATAGTCCTTATTCACATTAACTCACTTAGAAAGAAAAAAAAGATAAAGTAGTAAAACTAATATAGATGAACAAAAAGTAAAAAAAAAAAAAAAAAGGTATTGAAAAGAGATATTTTAACCTTACATTTGATCTTATGGTTTCTTATACTAGTCGTCGTACCGGTAATCTCTATGCGACAAAGGGGACACTTCTCCATATGAACTTCGGATTTTAAGTCCGCCATGATCAAGATAAAGAAAAAAGGCATTGAAAAAAGAGAGTTTCTAGGTGAGAGATAAGCATATTTACAAGGTAAAATTTTTAATTCAAAGAAGTTTAAAATGAATTCATGCATGAAATAAATGATTAAACAAAAAGTTGAAGAATTCAAAAAGATAAACATTGTGCTTATTAAGAGTTCAGCATTACCACAAACAACTTAAATTAAAACTACTAGAATACTCAAGGCTATGAAAAGCCTATTCCAAATTACTCAAACATAAATAAAAAACTACCAAAAGTACTAAAAAAGGTCACCGAAAGGCTAATTTCTTGAAATTTAAACTAGAACTTCAACATAGCTTAGACACATCCTTCACTTCGATCAGCAACACTACCAAGCATCACTTTTATCATCCCCACTCTTGTTACCAATCTTTCTAGTATCTTCTAGCCACCACGAGTCCTTAGTCACATTAATTCCCTTAAAAAAACAAGAAAATTTTTTTTGTAAGATTAAAATAGATGAAGAACAAGGTAAAAAAAAAGTATTAAAAAGAGATTTTAACCTTACATTTGATCTTATGGTTTTTTATACTCATCGTCGTATCGGTAATCTCCATGCCACAATGGGACGCTTCTCTAAATGAACTTCGATTTTGAGTCCGCCATGATTAAGATGAAGAAAAGAGACATTGGAAAAAGAGAGTTTCGGGGCAAAGATGATTTCCTATCCCTCTCTCCTTCTATAGATAGGAGAAATGAATGAATAAATCAATGTGACAATGACCATGACTAGAACTGGAAAGTGGGTGCATGAGGAAGCGAAAAACGAAGAAGGAAAGAAACTAATAGAATACGCAAGGCCACGGAAGGCCCATTCCAAATTACTTAAACATAAATAAAAAACTACTAAGAGTACTAAAAAAGGCCATCGAAAGGCTCATTTCTTGAAATTTAAACTAGAACTTCAACATAGCTTAGACACATCCTTCACTTTTGATCAATAACACTACTAGCATCACTTTTATCATCTCCAATCTTTCTAGTATCTTCTAGCCAACCACAGTCTTTAGTCACATTAACTCCCCGAAAAAAAAAACAAAAAAAAATTAAATTTGTAAGATTAATATAGATGAAAAATAATTTAAAAAAAGTATTAAAAAGAAAAAAATTTAACCTTACATTTAATCATATGGTTTCTTATACTCATCGTCGTATCAATAATATCCATGAGACAATGGGACGCTTCTCTATATGAACTTTAGATTTTGAGTCTACCATGATCAAGATGAAGAAAAAAGACATTGGAAAAAGAGAGTTTACGGGGCAAAGATGATTTCCTATCCCTCTCTCCTTTTATAGATGGGAGAAATGAATTGATAAATTAATATGACAATAACCATGACTAGAAATGGAAAGAGGGTGCATGGGGAAGTGAACAACAAATAAGGAAAGAGAGAGGGATTAGGCATGGTAGATAAGAGAGAAAGACAGGGGAAACGAAAAGGAGAGTGACGAGGAAATTGTTTTAGCGAGGTCATAAGAGAAGAAGAGAAGGGAAAATTTTCATTTTTTGGGTGAGAGATAAGCATATTTACAAGGTAAATTTTTAATTTAAAGAAATTCAAAATGAATTCATGCATGAAATAAATCATTAAATAAAAAGTTAAAGAATTCGAAAAGATAAGCATTATGCTCATTAAGAGTTCGAGCATTAGGACAAACGAGTTTAAATTAAAACTACTAGAATACTCAAGGCCATGAAAAGCCCATTCCAAATTACTCAAACATAAATAAAAAACTACTAAGAGTACCAAAAAAGGCCATCGAAAGGCTCATTTCTTGAAATTTAAACTAGAACTTCAACATAGCTTAGACACATCCTTCACTTCGATCAGCAACACTACTAGCATCACTTTATCATCCCCACTCTTGTCACCAATCTTTCTAGTATCTTCTAGCCAGCCATAGTCCTTAGTCACATTAATTCCCTTAAAAAACAAGAAAAAAAATTAAATTTGTAAGATTAATATAAATGAATAACAAGGTAAAAAAAGTATTAAAAAGAGATTTTAACCTTACATTTGATCTTATGGTTTCTTATACTCATCGTCGTATCAATAATCTCCATACGAAAATGGGATGCTTCTCTATATGAACTTCGATTTTGAGTCCGCCATGATCAAGATGAAGAAAAGAGACATTGGAAAAAGAGAGTTTCGGAGAAAAGATGATTTCTTATCCCTCTCTCCTTTTATAGATGGGAGAAATGAATGAATAAATCAATGTGACAATGACCATGACTAGAGCTGGAAAGAGGGTGCATGAGGAAGTGAAAAACGAAGAAGGAAAGAGAGGGATTAGGCATGGTAGATAAGACAGCAAGAGAGTGGAAAGGAAAAGGAGAGTGATAGGGAAAATTGTTGTAGTAGGTCATAAAAGAAGAAGAGAAGGGAAAAAATTCATTTTCTAGGTGAGCGATAAGCATATTTACAAGGAAAAATTTTTAATTCAAAGAAGTTTAAAATCATGAAATAAATCACTAAACAAAAAGTTAAAGAATTCAAAAAGATAAACATTGTGCACTTTAAGAGTTTGGCATTACGACAAACAACTTAAATTAAAGCTACTAGAATACTCAAAGCCATGAAAGGCCCGTTCCAAATTACTTCAAACATAAATAAAAAACTAACAAGAGTACTAACAATGGCCACCGAAAGGCTCATTTCTTGAAATTTAAATTAGAACTTCAACATAGCTTCACTTTTGATCAACAACACTATTATCATCACTTTTATCATCCCTACTCTTGTCACCAATCTTTCTAGTATCTTCTAGCCGACCACGGTCCTTAGTCACATCAACTCCCTTAAAAAAAGAAAAAAATTAACTTTGTAAGATTAATATAGATGAAGAACAAGGTAAAAAACAATATTGAAAAAAGATATTTTAACCTTACATTTGATCTTATGGTTTCTTATACTCATCGTCGTATCGGTAATCTCCATGCGACAATGGGACGCTTCTCTATATGAACTTTAGATTTTGAGTCTTCTATGATCAAGATTAAGAAAAGAGACATTGAAAAAAGAGAGTTTCGGGGCAAAGATGATTTCCTATCCCTTTCTCCATTTATAAATGGGAGAAATGAATTAATAAATCAATATAACAATGACCATAACTAGAACTAGAAATAGGGTGCATGGGGAAGTGAACAACAAAGAAGGAAAGAGAGAAGGACTTGGTATGGTAGATAAGAGAGAAAGAGAGGGGAAAGGAAAGGGAGAGTGACGAGGAAATTTTTTATTAGGTCATAAGAGAAGAATTGAAGGGAAAAAAATTCATTTTTTGGGGTAAGAGATAAGCATATTTACAAGGTAAAGTTTTTAATTTAAAGAAGTTCAAAATGAATTCATGCATGAAATAAATCATTAAACAAAAAGTTGAAGAATTCAAAAAGATAAACATTGTGCTCATTAAGAGTTCGAGCATTATGACAAACAACTTAAATTAAAACTACTAGAATACTCGAGGCCATAAAAGGCCCATTCTAAATTTCTCAAACATAAATAAAAAACTACCAAGAGTACTAAAAAAGGCCACCAAAAGGCTCATTTCTTGAAATTTAAACTAGAACTTCAACATAGCTTAGACACATCCTTCACTTCTAATCAACAACACTACTAGCATCACTTTTATCATCCCCACTCTTGTCACCAATCTTTCTAGTATCTACTAGCCAGCCATGGTCCCTAGTCACATCAACTCCCTTAAAAAAACAAGAAAAAAAATTAAATTTATAAGATTAATATAGATGAAGAACAAGGTAAAAAAAGTATTGAAAAGAGATATTTTAACCTTACATTTGATCTTATAGTTTCTTATACTCATCATCGTATCAATAATCTCCATGCGACAATGGGACGCTTCTACATATGAACTTTAGATTTTGAGTCTTCCATGATCAAGATAAAGAAAAGAGACATTGGAAAAAGAGAGTTTACGGGGTCAAGACGATTTCTTATCCCTCTCTCCTTATAAAGATGGGAGAAATGAATGAATAAATCAATATTACAATGACCATGAGTATACCTAAAAAGAGGATGCATGATGAAGTGAAAAAAAAGAAAGAAAGAGAGGGGGACTAAGCATGGTAGATAAGAGAGAAAGAGTGTGGAAAGGAAAGGGAGAATGCCGGGAAAAATTATTACAGTGGGTCATAAGAAAATAAGAGAAGGGAGAAATTATAATCCTGGGTGAGAGATAAGCATATTTGTAAGGTAAAATTTTATCATTAAACAAAAAGTTGAAGAATTCATAAAGATAAACATTGTGCTCATGAAGAATTCAGCATTACGATAAATAACGAAAACTGAAACTACTAGAATACTCAAGGCCATAAAAGGACCATTCTAAATTATTCAAACAACAATAGAAAATGACTAAGAATACTTAAAAAAGCCACTAAAAGGCTCATTTCTGGAAATTTAAACTAGAACTCTAACATAGTTTGGACACATCCTTCACTTCTAACTAGCAACTCTACTAGCACTTGCTTTTGTTACCACCACTTTTGTCATAACCACTCTTGTCACCACTCTTTTCGAGCATCTTCCAGCCAGCCATGATCCTTAGTCACATCAACTCTCTTTAAAAAAAGAAAAAAAAATCATAATATTAATATAGACAAAGAACAAGGTAAAAAAGTATTGAAAAGAGATATTTTTATGTTATATTTGATCTTATAGTTTCTTATACTTGGTTGTCGTACTAGTAATGTCCATGTGGTAGTGGGGAGGTTTCTCCGTATAAACTTTAGATTTTAAGCCTACCATGATTGAGATAAAGAAAACAACTATTGGAAAAGAGATATATGGAAAAGATGATTTCGTATCCCTTTCTCTTTTTATAGATGGGAGAAGTGAATAAATAAATCAATGTGACAAAGAGTAAATGACCTTGACTGGAACTAGAAAGAGGGTGCATGGAGAAGTGAGAAACAAAGAAGGAAAAAGAGAGGCACTAGGCATGGTAGATAAGATAGAAAGAGAGTGGAAATGAAAGAGAGAATGATGGGGAAAATTGTTACGATAGGTTATAAGAGAAGAAGAGATTGGAAAAAATTCATATCCCGGGTGAGAGATAAGCATATTTACAAGGTAAAATTTTTAGTTCAAAAAAGTCTAAAACAAATTCATGCATGAAATAAATCATTAAATAAAAAGTTGAAGAATTCATAAAGATAAATGTTGTGCTCATTAAAAGTTCGAGCATTACGATGAACAACTGAAACTAAAACTACTAGAATACTCAAGGCCAAGAAAGACCCATTCTAAATTATTAAAAAATAAAAAAAAAACTAATACGATAACTTAAAAAGGCCATTGAAAGGTTCATATCTTGAAGTTTAAACTAGAACTCCAACATAGCTTGGGCATGTCCTTCACTTCGACCAAGCAACACTACTAGCATCGCTTTTTTCACCATCACTTTTGTCATCACTCTTTCTAGCATCTTCCGACCAGCCACGGTCCTTATTCATATCAACTCCCTTAAGAAAAAAAGAGTAAATTAGTAAGATCAATATAGATGAAGAACAAGGTAAAAAAAAGTATTGAAAAAAGATATTTTTACCTTGTCTTTGATCTTATGGTTTCTTATATTGGTCTTCGTACCGGTAATCTCCTTGTGGCGGTTGGGATACCTCTTCGTATGAACTTTAGATTTTGCATCTTCCACAATCAAAATGAAGAAAAGAGGGATTGGAAAAAGAGATTTTTAGGGAAAAGATGATTTCCTATCCCGATCTCCTTTTATAGATGAGAGAAGTGAATAAATAAATCAATGTGACAATGACCATGACTAAAAGCTGGATAAAGGTTGTATAGGGCATGGAAAAACAAAGAAAGAAAGAGAAAGGGACTAGGCATGGTAGATAAGAGAGAGAGAGAGTGGAAAGGAACGGGAGAGTAACGGGGAAAATTATTGCAATAGATCATAAGAGAAGAAAAGAAGGGAAAAAATTCTTATCCTAGGTGAGAATAAGTATATTTATAAGGTAAAATTTTTATTTCATGCAAGTCCAAAACGAATTCATGCATGAAATAAATCATTAAACAAAAAATTAAAAAATTCATAAAGATAAGCATTGTGGTCATTAAGAGTTCAACATTAGGACAAACAATATAAATTAAAAAAATACTAAAATACTTAAGGCCATTGAAGGCCCATTCCAAATTATTTAAAAAAAATAAAAAAAACTACTAAGAGTACTTAAAATGGCCATTGAAAGGCTCATTTTTTGAAATTTAAATTGAAACTCCAACATAGCTTCGACACATCCTTCACTTCGACCGGTAACATAACTAGCATTACCTTTGTCACCACCACTCTTGTCACCACTCTTTCCAGCATCTTCTAGCCAACTAAGATCTTTATTCACATCAACTCCTTAAAAAAAAAAAAAAAAAAAAATTAAATTAGTAAGATTAATATACATGAAGAACAAGGTAAAAAAAAAAGGCATTGAAAAGAGATATTTTTACCTTGTATTTAATCTTATGGTTTCTTATACTAGTCGTCGTACGAGTAATCTCCTTGTGGCAAAGGAGATATGTCTTCGTATGAACTTAGATTTTACATCTGCCATGATCAAGATGAAGAAAAGAGAGAATAGAAAAGAGAGTTTCTAGGAAAAAGATGATTTCCTATCCTCTCTCTTTTTACAAATGGGAGAAGTGAATAAATAAATCAATGTGATAGTGAGTTAATGACCGTGATTCGAAATTCAAAAGAGGGTGCATGGGGAAGTGAAAAACAAGAAAGAAAGAAAGAGAGAGGCACAAGGCATGGTAGATAAGAGAGAGAGAGTGTGTGGAAAGGAAATGGAGAGTAATGCGAGAAAATTGTTTTAGTAGGTTATAAGAGAATAAAAGTGACGGGTTCAAAATCTGCAACTTAAAATTAAAAAAATTAACTTTAAGGAAAATGTATTAAATATATTAAAGTTATTACATTGAAATTAAAACCATTACAAAATTGATTTCGATACATTTTAATTATATATATATATATATATATATATATATATATATATATATATATATATATATATATATATAACACATGAATTTCATTCTTTTCCTTCTTAAAAAGTATTTTTGTTTCCAAACAAACATGCCTAATCATAAATCAATTATTTCTATTTTTTATTTTTTACTCTTAATTATTTAAAAAATTAGAGACAAATTATATGTAATACACATCCACCTTAAAATCATGCTACTCTCATTTAAAAATTATAAGAACCCATTATATAAATTATTTTATTTTATTTTATTTTCTTAAAAAGCTAAACTGTAGAAAACCCATTGTACTTTAGCAAAATAATAATAATAATAATAAAACTCCCTGGACTAAAAAAATATTTAATTTTACTCTCCATACAAAATGATTTTTCAAACATGTCCATTTAGTTAGGATTTTGGTGACAAATTAACAAAAGAAAGCAATAAAAATCCTCTTAATTCATGTTCTTTTCTTTGCCAACTTATAAAAATATGTTTACTAACAAAGGAAAAAAAGAAATTGAAAGGAATTCTAAAGGTTTTTTCATCAAGTTCTCAATGAAATTCTAATAAAAGAGACAATTTCAAAAAATCATGTTGTTTAAGGGGCAAAATCAAGAATATATTTTTAATTCCGAAAGGTATTTGTTTTTTCACAAGTATTTTATAGTTTTAAATTTCTTATACAATAATCTCAAATTATTTTCCTTTTTTTCACTTTTCACTTTTAATTATTTTATTTTATTTTTTTTAAATTGAAATTGTAAAATACCAAGCAACATAATCTCGAATATCCGTAAAATGATTAAGGCAATACGATAGCATGGCACTCCGAAACAAGTACATAACATCCAAAGAGAGATAACATGAGGTGAACTTTGTTGATCTTGTTTGAAGGATCCGAGTAATGGAGTTGTGTATGGGTAACGATGCCAAAAATTGTGTTATAGATGAAACAAGTACATGTAAGATCAAGTAAAGAGGTCTACAACAATAACGCAATCAATAAGGTACCAAATGTATTAACTTTGCATCATACCGGAAAATACAATTGGCTAGCAATGTTGCGAAGATAGTTCCATTTATAATTAAAATGGGAGAGAGCAAACAAATCGAAATCCTTGCCCCTTTAGTCACCCCCACAAAGTTTACCCCATTAAAAAGCAAAATGCAGTTGTAGTTAAACTTGAAGCTTGACGCATTGCCTTTACTGGAAGAAATCAATACAATATCTTGGTAGTTTCAGTAGAATCATAAAGACATGATCATACCATAATCGAATACTAATAAAGGGAGAAAGATACCACCTATCCCATAAAGCATAACACACACCTAGTCAAGCTAACGACTACGGGAGGAATGGGAATCTACCGGTTATTCCGCAAACCTTCCGTTAAATCTAAAGCTGAAAAAATATTAATAGAACTTTCCTCACAAATCCCATTTTTTAAATTTCTTCTTTTTCTTCTTCATCTTTCTCAACTTGGCCATTAGTGCTGAAATTTCATAGCTTTTTATGGTTTCTATTGTAGGGTGGTTTAAAAACTTGATCGAGTAGTTGTTTGCGTTTGTTGTGAAGAGAGAAGGAGTGAAAAAGAAGGGTTTCTAGAGGAAACCCGAACTCAATTCGTGGGTGGGAGACTAGAATTTGGTTGATTTAGGGTCAAGGACTTGTTTGATTGGAAAACAACTCTATTTGTTCGGGGTCGGGATCCCAAAGAGTATTAAAACGAGAGAGGCGAAGGAGAAGATTCTTTGGAGCAATTGGCTAACCGCGAGTCTTTCTTATATTCTTGATTTTATATGATTTTGTCCTTCAAAAACTTTACTCTTCTATGGCTATATTATAGGTTCTTATCTTTAGTTAAGGTTTTGTTCCTTCGGTAAAAAACATTTGATTTGAATGCATATGCTTCGGGCTAAAATCATGCGGGATCTCAATTCTCAATCTTTATTTTATGAGATAGAAGGTTGATTTGATTGGATTTAAAGTAAAGACTTTAATTTAACCAAATGTACAAAATAGAGGGACCAAGTATGGTGTTTAACTATGAAGGATAGACAAAGCCAAGTACTCCTTTCAAAGGCAAAAGGACCCAACCATCAAATGACCCAAAATTACTTTGTTTAAGTTTTTTACCGAACTAGCTTGCTTTTGCTCTCATGTCTCTTTCTTTAATTCCGTATTTTAAGCTGTCTTGTGGTCTTTCTTTTTCTTGTAACAATCTTTGATTTCTTGATGGTTAAAATAGTACGGATATCGTTATCAACATTTCATCGGACATGTTGTTATTGGTAAATGCTCAAATTATCTTTTTGATGATCTAGGTTTTGATGGATATGTTATATTAAAGCTGGATTGAGTTTTTGGACAAGATACAGCATGAAGTTTATAGAGTTGGAAGTGGATTTTGATTTAACTATTTAGGTGTGCAATGTTGCAATAAAGGTTTTACAAGTCTTGAATTTGTAGGAGGAATTCCTAGGACTATAGGTGGAGTTCCTTACATGAATGGTGGAGCTAATAGGCAAGTAATTCTTAGCTTTATTCCAAAACTTCCTGTACATGCCTTTGTCTAAAGAGGTTGGCATTTTTTTTCTCATTGAATGAAGGAGACTAGCGATGCTTGTTGTAAGTGTTGACATTGTTGCAAGCCGAAGGGAAGTGTCGGACATGTAACATGATGGATCTTAAGTTTGGCTACCGAACATCACCATTTCAAGATATGAAAGACTTAGCAGCTATTGTTGTGGTAATTTCCCAAGCT